TAAGTTCAAATCACGGATCCAACACTTAAAGCTTGTCACCTCGAACAGTTTGTTTAACCTCAGCGTTAGTGTTCTTGCCCTCCAATGAGATAATAATTGCACCAACTATCTCAGCGTTGGCTGTAAAGATTTAATGAGACAGTGTACATACGGCTTATACCATGGTGTACGCGTTTGGTAAATCCAAGCCTCTTTTATCATCATTTGAGTCTCTCTCTTTTATTTTTTTAATTTTTTGCTCTGAACATTTTTCTCCCCTTTTACGGAGAGCGCAGAACAATCACGAAATTCCAGGCATCATTCATAAAAGCTGAAGCTTCTCTAAGCGCAGCTCTTACCTGCCCAAAGCAACTGTTAGGTCTTTCTCTGAGACTTGTAACCCACAGACGCCTCCCCTATAGAATTCTTTCAGCTCCTTCATGTTTCGCTCTGCCCTCTGCAGGTTAAAATAAGCTTCTCTGCCAGTGAAACAGTCAAGGAAAATGCCAAGCACACAACCTCCCCCACTGCCCAGGGACAGCAGCTGATAAGCAAACAAAAAGGCCCCTTGGGAAAAACAAAGCAGCATTTGGAAATGAGCACTTCCTGGTGTTCTCGCATGTATATGTTGTCAAGAAGGGAGAATTCTTTAGAAAAGGAACAGGGCCCTGGGCTTCCTGTGGTGGTTGCCTGAATCCAAGGCTGATGTGGGTGGTGAGCGTTTGGAAGCGTGAACGGAAACTGTAAATTACACTAGATTTTCTTTAGAGGCGTCTACTGCCCGACAGCAGTTATGCATTTTTCCCAAGTTGGTTCCTGTGAATGGTAAAACAGAGGAACCAATTCTGCTGAAAGGGACTTTCTGGGCAGTTCAGACAGTCCAAGCAAAGCAAAAGTTTTGGCCAAAGGCAAATAGGAAAGAAAATCCCCTTAATTCCCAAATATCCTTCTCATTCCCACATTTTCAATAGCCCCTTGCAAAGGGCATAACAGGGGAAGGCCACAGATCAGATCTGCAAATTGAGCATTCTGGAGTGGATCTGGGGTGATTGGGGTGAAAATGGAAATCCGTCCCATCCCTTGTTCTTCTGAGAAGCTCCAGCTACTCTGGGCCTGGGAGCTGGGCCTGGGGCCAAACTCAGCCACCTGGCTGGGGCTGCAGCCAAGCTACCAACCTGCTGCAAGTACTGGATGGCCTGGTCGTGGTTCCTCCTCAGCTGCTCAATCTGAGCCATTTCCTTGTACAGAGTGACCAGATCTGAAGTCCTGTTGCCCTTGGTAGCAACAATGTTGCCAACTGCCTTTTTAAAATATGCCAGGGCTAGGTTCAACCTGTGGATGGCCAAGGAGGCTCTACAAGAAAAGGTAAGAAGATGGAGAGTCACAGAAAGGCCATTTGTTTTACAGACGCAATAGGAACTTATTCTCAGAACTAAACAATTTGGCTTTCATAGGCCAGTCATCTCAGTGGTTGGCTCAAAATCCAGCCTTGCTGTAAACAAACTCCAATTAACCTGCATTTTACCCACTGGATTCCAATGACTACTATTCATCAAACTCATTAATATGTCATGCTACAGTCTAACTTTATAAAAAGGCAAATAAAAAAATGGCTTCTAGTGATTTACAAGATGGGATAATTTACCCATAAACATAAGCTTTCTAAAATCAAATGAGATCGGGGGG